TTGTAAAATTACCCTTACCAAGATTAATATTTAAAAGTGGGTTTTCAGGGGATATGGTGCCACCAGCAGTCAATCTGTACCTGTGAGGTGAGTGCATCCTTCCAGATACCCCTAAATTGCTGCTGTGCCTTTGGCCAGACCTCAAAAACTTGGGGCCAAGTTTACCAAGAAAGTAAATGGCCAAGAGTTAGGTATATAGGAGACACACCCACAAACCATCTCCAACTCAGCTATAACTGGCGGCATGGCCTCTCTGGTTCTGATCAGACTGCTTAATGGCCATGATCCCAGAGACTCAGAAACAAATCTCGAAACCCAATGGCTTTTGGCAGAAATGCGTCCGATCCCAGCAGTAGGTTAATGGCCCCAGGTCACCCCAGGTGGGAATAGGTTTTGTGCCTTGCCCTGTTCCCCCTGGCGGCCTGGTGGCTGTCATCCTCCAGAGGTCACTGGACAGTCAGGTTTGGGCCCACAGTGATGAGACACGTGGGGCCTCACAGGATGAGGGTGGAGCCCGCCCCTTTCCTCCCTGTCCCACCGAGACCCTGAGTCATTGCCCATGAACAGCTTCTCTGGCTCCTGATTAAGCTGCTTAACAGCCATGATCCCAGAGACTCAGAAACAAATCTCAAAACCTAGCGGCTTTTGGCAGAAATGCACCCAGACCCCGAGTAGGTTACTGTCGCCTGGCCATCCCAGAAGGTAAAGGATGCTGTCCCTCTACCTGCTCCCCCTAGGCAGCTCGGTGGCCACCATCTTCCAGAGGCCATTGAACAGTCAGGTTTGGGCCCACAGTGACAAGACATGCAGGGTCTTAGAGATGGGGGTGGAGTCGGCCCATTCCTCCCCACCCCAGCGAGACCTCGAGTCGCTGCCTACGAACGGCCTCTCTGGCTCCAATCAAGCTCTTTAATGGCCATGATCCCAGAGACTCAGAAACAAATCTCAGAACCAGTAGCTTTTGGCAGAAATGCGTCCAGTCCCCACAGTAGGTTACTGGGGCTGGGCCACCAGGTGGGAATAGGTTTCATGCCTTGGCCTGTTCCCCCTGGCAGCCCAGTGGGCGCCATCCTCCAGAGGCCACTGGACAGTCAGATTTGGGCCCGCAGTGACAAGACATGCAGGGCCTCACAGGATGTGGGTAGAGCCGGCCCTTTCCTCCCTGTCCCAACGAGACCCCAAGTTGCTGTCCACGAACAGCCTCTCTGACTCCTGATCAAGCTGCTTAACTGGCCACGATCCCAGAGACTCAGAAACAAATATCGGAACCCAGAAGCTTTTGCCAGAAATGCGTTCAGACCCTGCAGTAGGTTGCTGTCACCGGGCCACCCCAGGAGGGAAAGGGTGTTGTCCCTCTGCCTGCTCCCTTGGGGCAGTTCGGTGGCTGCCATCCTCCAGAGACCACTGGACAGTCAGGTTTGGGCCCTCAGTGACAAGACATGGTGGAGCCTCATAGAATGAGGGTGGAGCCGGCCCTTTCCTCCCTGTCCCAACAAGACCCCGAGTTTCCGCCCACGAACGACCTCTCTGGTTCCTGATCAAGCTGCTTAATGGCCATGATCCCAGAAACTCAGGAACAAATCTTGGAACCCAGCAGGTTTTGGCAGAAATTCCTCCAGATTTAATTGTTAAAATTTCGGAATTTCAAAATTGCATGGTCACTACTGCAGCCGTGCGACATCATATGTTATTCATAACCAGAATGGAAAACAAATTGTCTACTGTTGCAAGTCTGAGTGTTGGGGTAAAATCCCAAATAATAATGGTGGGTCTGGTGTCAACATATTGAATGTAATCAAAGTAGAGAGAGAGTAATGTGGAAATCATCTGCCCCACAGTTAGGGGGAGGGTGTGGGATTTGGGTATACAGGGGGTTTTGTTGGTGGAGAATGGGTACCAGTGAAGGTACAGGCGTTTCGTTGTATGACCGAAATTTAAACCCAAAAGTTTTGTAACTGCTCTCATGGTGATTCAATAAATAAAAGTATAAAAAATGAAAAAAAAAGTAAGGTGGAGTTTATGCCCAATTCAATCAGCCTAATCAGTGGCTGAATAAATAGCAGTACTCCTAAATTTAAATAAAAAAGTGGGTTTTCAGGGCAGAGAAAAGGGATGAAATGCCATAATACCTAAAAATGGTGGATGAAACATAGTTTTTCTAAAATTTAGAAAGAAAGCTGCTTTTCACATGTGAGATATAAAACATGATAGCTGTCTCGTATATCACTGTATCAAATGACTAGTATTATGCAAGGGCCTGAGATAAATCCTTGGCATAGTCCTGCCAGGCTAAACATCACCAGGAGTGGCCTCTATTTTAAAAATTGATATGATTCAACAAATGGTGTTGGAAAAACTGGGTAGCCACATGCAAAAATACAGAAAGAAACTATTTCAAATGCCACACCATACAAGAAAGTTCAATAAATTATAAGTCGCTGTGCATCTCTTTTCAAATCAACTGACAGACTCTCTCATATCCAGGAGCCATTTTATTAAAAAGATGCCCAGAGCTTCTTCATCCCTTCCACTACATGAGGACACACTGAGGACACTTATTAGATACTGAATCTGCTGGTTCCTTGATCTTGAACTTCCTAATCTTCAGAATTATTAGAGATTTCTGTTGTGATAAATCACCCAGTCTTGAAAATTCTGCTCTAATAGCCTGAATGGACAAAGTCAAGGAGATAATATAGGTAAGTCTGAGGATGCCCTGTAGTCTCATCATGTGATCTCTTAACTAACTCATAGAATCACTTTGGTTTTGCTAAATTTGGAGTACAGCAAACATTTTCCCTTTGGAGTCTTTAAGCTTAATGTTGATACACTTCAATTTTGAAATAGTATAGATAAAGTTAATCCAATTTAATGTCATAGACATAAATAGATTTTCTAAATCTATATTATTTCCAGTTGTTCTGCTTCACCTTCAATTCTACTATGTTCTATTACACACACACACATATATATGCATGTATATGCATACGAAATCATCTTTTTTTATAATTATAGTTGTTATATTACTTACTAATCTTTACTTTTTAAAAAATAAACAAATTCTTTTGAGTTAAAAAGATATATAATCAATGCAATTTCTAAAATACTTTTATAAATAAAAACAACAAATTCTAAAATAACAATATTCTTCAAGATCAATTTAAGCTCTGATGAGTGGAAATGAAGAGGTTTGCTAGTAGTCTAAGTTACCAACTGATTGTTCAATTCAAATGCCATATATATATACATATATATATATATAACCCAGGAAAAGCCTTTTACTTTTGACAATTTCTCTTTGATCAATATGTCTTGCCCTTTTCTGTATTTTCATCTTATAAATGATTCTTGCCAGCATCATTCAATATGTTTTCAGACCACAGATTTTATAATAACAAAAATGTATTTCAAAGATTAATATTGTATCTGAAAATAATAATCTCGTCTTCTCTGAACCTCTTTTGAATTACCCAGGCTTTCTGAGTACTTTCTATCAAATTTAATGGTTTGAACTCTCTGCTCCTTGGAATTATTCTAAAAATGGGACAAATCGACAAACTTCAAAAACACTTATTTCCATCTTTTCTTTCCAAGGCTGATAAAAATTTATGACTTTTATCCTGACATGCAGGTTGACGACAGTCTTGGTGGAGTAAACAACAAGTCTCACAATGGAGACATTACTGGTGACCGCTCGAGCAACTCGATGAACAACGGGAGGACAGTGCTACAGTGCTACTTAACAAATAGAACCTGTTGCTACTCTCAAGGATCTAAGAACCCTCCACCAAAAGAAAGTACCCAAACTAGGCGGGTAAAAATTAATAGGTAAAGAACTTTATGGTTAATACATTGCTTATAAGAGTGAATTTGAATAATATGTTTCAACTATTACACTGTTTTTTAAAAATGGATGCTTTAATGCTGTGCCATTGATAGCCTGCCTTATATCTAGTCATTGCAGGAGAGTGGAATATTCATTTACCACTGAACACTAGTCCTGAGTCCTGTTCTAACTATGTGTAGGGCTTTGTGCTAAAAACTAAAGTTATTAGAAATCATAAATAAGATGTAGAGAGTTTCCTGTTAATCTGGCAAGACAGAAAATTAAGTAAGGTAATAGAAAAGTGTTAGACATGCCACTGAAAATGTGGCTATGCACACGTTTGAAAGGTTTCATTTTTAAGCCTTGTTATGTTAAGCCACCAGTCTTTCTTTCCACTTATTTAAAATAGACGTATTGAATCCCCAGCACTATATATGGTCCCCTGAGCACCATCAGGGGTGACCCCTGGCAAAGAGCTAGGAGTAAGCCCTGAATACCACAGCTGTGACTCCCAAACCAAAAATAAATGAAAAATATATGTTGAAATATTTTGTTGGCATATCCCTTTGCCTCGTGACTGTATCTTAGAAACTCCTCTTATCATTTCTCGTCTATTTGCATCTCTTGAAATACATCCTTTACATTACACCGGTGAAATATTTCTAAAGTAGAAATCTGACCTGCAACTACTGTTCTATTCATAGGTTAAGCGAATAGAAGCAACGATGTTTTTTTCCACATCATTTCTGGGCACTGTAATCCATTTTAATTGTCCTAGCCCTATGCTATTCCAGGTGGTATTCATGTTAGCTTGAGTACCATCTCAGCCAATTAAATTAACTGCATGTAACTGAGAACTGTGCCATAATTTCTGATCTCAGATTGCTTGTCAGGAACACAGTCACACAAGTAAATCATCTTCAATTTATTTTAACTCTATCACTTGGCAGAATCAGCTAGCAAAAAAGAACACTTTTCCAAACCAACCCTGTGGTTTTACAAAAAAAAAATTGTTAAACCTCATTGTAGCATTAATTTCACCACAAACAATATGGCAATATAAAACTTAATTATAAAATGATGTGAAGCTGATGCACAGTGGAGATGCATAGGTACAGAAAATGGAGTATAATAATACCTCCTAAGTTCTTTAGATAATGAAATGAGTTCTTGCAAGCAACACTCTATGGCAGATGATCAAAACTGTCTGAAAATTTTTGTACTTGCTACAGCAAGAAAGTCTAACCAATTCCAGTAGTCTCATCTCCATGAGACAAGCTGCTGAGACTTAAAGAGCATTAATTTTTTAAAAAAGAGAGAAAATTAAATGAGTTCTAAGGTAATAATTATTTACAATCTGATTTCTCTCTTCAGTCAAATCTTATTTATCATAAAATCAATTTTCTGCTCCAGGGATTATCTGAGAAATTTCAGGACTTTATATTCCTAACTCACAATTAAACAATTAGCTATAAGTCACCAATAGAAATATAAGTTCATAAAAGAGTGTCAAAAACATGAAGTGCTGTGAAAAGTTATATCCTTATTTTGGGTGCCTCTAATTTCCCAAACCTAATAAAATTATTCTAAATTAACTCTTAGATTATGCAAATATTTATTCCTTTATTTTGAGGCAAGTCATTAAATATTGTCTAGCTTGTCTAATTATCAGAGTGACTTTATTAGAAATAATTTGTTCTTTAAGCATTTGCATGAAGTGCCATGCTAGATACTGAGCATCTAAAACAAATGAGGCAGTTCTACAGTCAAATAGGCCTCAGTCTGGAGTGCCGGTGAACATAGCACATAATTATAAAAAGCATAATTCTTTTTTATTTATTTATTTTTTTGGTGTTTAGGCCACACCTGGAAGTGCTCAGAGATTACTCCTGGCTCTGTGCTCAGGGATCACTTTTGGTGGGCTTGGAGAACCATATGGGATGCCAGGATAAAATTCAGGCATGCAAGGCAAGTGCCTTACCCATTGAACTATCACTTTGGCTCTATAAAACATAATTCTTACCTTCAAAGAGTTGAAAATAATATTCAAGATTGACAGCACAATGTTCATATATTTGAAAGGGATACATAAGGGACTTTATATTATGTGATATAAAGAAATCTTCTAACTACATTTTAATGTTTCTAATAAGCATTACCTAGCAAATTTCAAAAGATAAGCTAGAAATCTGGAGCAAAATTAACTGATTTTTTTTTCTTTTTTGGTCCAACCTGGCAATGCACAGGGGTTATTCCTGGCTCATGCACTCAGGAATTACTTCTGATGGTGCTTGAGGGAAAATATGGGCTACTGGCACCCGGGCCAGCCGCGTGCAAGGCAAATGCCCTACCCACTGTGCTATGGCTCCAGCTCCAAATTAACTGATTATTAAAGTCACTAACAGATTCTTCTGAAAGTTGCTGCTGGTGAAATACATTTCATTACTGTTCTGGAAGAAAAGATACTGTAAATGTACACCAGGCTTCTAAGTGAAACTGGACATCATTTGGAAAATTTCATCCACTGATTGACATTTGAAGGATCTGATTTCTTGAATAGATCCTTCAATGACTTTCTCCTTGACCTGCTAGTTATAAATTAATATCCAGGGCTTCCTGAATGCCTCCAGTGTTAAAACTGTAGGAGAAACTAATTCTTCAGTAGTTTCTATAAACTTACTTTATTAATACTAATTAACATCAATAAATTAGTATGGCTGTTAAGAAATCGAATTCATGCTAAAATTTTTTTGTTTAAATTTTCATTTATCTTACAGAGTCAGTTCTCAGAAATTAGGTCTAACTCCACAACCATGCAATCCCCACTCTACCAAAATACTCTGGTAGATGACATAATGTATCGTTCTATCCTCTTGTATAAGAAACCTGACTTTGTACTAAGACCATGCCAAACACAGGCAGATTATTATAAAACAAAATACTTTATTTAATAAAGGCCTACTATATGAGGTAGGCACTATTCCAGGCACTGAGTATTAAAGGATGAAAAGAACTGCCAAAGAACTTGCTCCCGGGTGCTTATGATACAACGGGGATTATCTGCGAATCAATTCCCAACTGGGAAACAAGTAAACAAACACAATTGTTTCAATTAGTGATAAGTACTTCCTTGAAATACAGCACATATTAAATTTTAAATGCCTGAATGGCTATCACACGGACATGTTAAGCAGGCAGTTGGGTATCCATGTCTAAAAGCTTGGTGATGAGGTCAGAGCAAGAAGTAATCCTTTGGGAGTCATGACAGTTTTTAGAAACATGAGCTTACTTGGGGTTGAACATGGAGAAGAGAGGAGCGAATCAGTCCCAAACCTCCAGATTTTATTAGGCTCACTAACTTACCAAGGAATTTCTTATTCATTCCTGATTGATAAGATGCACTTGTTTAGTTAAAAATCATCCAGGATCCAGAAGTTTCTGGTATCTTTATCTTTACCCATCTGTCATCTTGAAGACCTGATTAAACAACAAGAGCAGAGAGATGCATTGCGGGTTTTGAACTTTCTCCTTGCTCAACAATGTTCTGCCTGGAAATGGATTTTGTTATTTCTATACAGTGAAGTACACAGTAACAGTGAGTCAGATTGGTTTACCTGCTCAAACCAAGTAAATTCCAGGAATTCACATTTACAGAAAAACCATTTTTCTGTTCGTTTTTTTAAGTCCTGTATTATTTATTATTTCATAGAATTCTGTCATGTTTTCAAAGAACCTTTTTGGTACTAAAGCTTTCACTTCACTTTGCCAAGAATTTCATCCCAGGGACAAGACTCTGTTCTTTCTCTTCTCAAACTCTGCTTGATGCAAGCTTGAAACAAATCCCAGTACCTTAAGGCACAGCAACCCTCTTGGCTGTGTATCATTCCTAATTGGAAACTGGTGCTGTTGAATTGCACTTGACAAAATCTCTTTGCCTATCAAAAAAAAATACACTTTATATCTCAAAGACACGAAGCATGTTATCTGTCATCAAAAACATAAAAAACGTTTTACATTTTTATTCAATAATAAATAACATAAAATCTGATCATTGCAATACTTTCATGTTTTTAGCATTTCTTCAATTTTATTGGTTATTGTTTTGGTCTGCTCAAGACTTATTCCCATATTCAATATGCCAAACACAGTAACAACAAGCCTCACGAAGGAGACGTTACTGGGCCCACTTGAGCAACTCGATGAACAACGGGAGGACCGTGACCAAGACTTATTCCAGGCCCAACAAAGATAAATCCTGGAGGTGCTTGAGGGATCATACCTGGGACAGCTGTGTACAAGGTAAGTGCTTTACCTGGTTTACTATCTCTCCAGCCCCAGGAAATAAACATAGAGTTTATTTCCCCTCTTTTTTTCCTTTTCAAGTCATTCAGCTAATCATTCTGTCAAATCTATTGTCTGTCATTTACTGTGTGCTGCATTTATCTTTTGTTACACCTAACAAACAAGAGTCCTAGATATGTTTCTGTTTCTCACCTCTTGATCTGTATTTGGATGAAACTGTTTAAGAGTGCTACATTGTTTTTAGTATATTGGCACTGTAAAATAAAATAAGCTTATAGTATCTATAGTGTTTTCTTGAGCAGTCTGCAGAAGTCCAGAGGAAATTTAGAATGTGTACTCAACATACTTTGTGAGCCATAAAATAAATATGACGGTAACAGACAAAGGAATAATTCTAATACACTTTATAATTATATACACTTGAATGCATCTTCTTCATAATGTGCTTCATGACCGCATTATTAACAATTTGAAGTCAGGGTGGGATTGTACCTATCTACAAAGACGGTGACTGGTCATAGAGTAGATGTCTTACTAGCGGAGGTTGGGGCCATAACTAGATTAGTATGTAATATTTGGAGATGGTAATAACTAAACTTGCGATGAAAAAATAAAACTTTTCCCAGAATTTTCCCAGAGTCTACAACTCAGTATTTCCAAGTTATGTCTAGAATTAATGTCAGGGGGAAAGTTTTATCTTGATCAGAACCATTCCCAGAAAATGGCAATATTGGACAATCTTTTCTTAACAGAAACAGGTATTCAGATATTCATAAACGTGGTTCAAGCAATTGAAGTACCTAGCTGAGCTTTGAAATCAAAGATGAGAAAGTATCATTCACCGCTCTAGAACAAGGTTTGAAGAGTTTGGAGAAGACTGAAATAATTGACATTGACAGGTCAGGATGTGCTTTGCTCTGGGAAATCTGAGAAGTAATTTATGTTGATAGGAAATTGGATATTCCCTCTATTACTTAATGTGCTAGTCAATGGCTCATCAGTCAAGCCTTTAGAATGTATGTATTCTGCCAAGTTTGTCTCTTCTCAATAGCATTCACAGGTTGTACATGAACTTCTACCTACCACAAGTTCCTTGGACTTGATTTCACAGAAAACTTGGTTTTCACAGAGAACTTTCATGGAGAACTTGGTTTTCACATGCTGTAACCTCTACGAGCTATTTATTCAATAGCTTTGAAGATCTGTTAAAATAAACCAAAAGTTCACATGAAATGTAAATGATGCTTGTGAGAAAGGGTAAATTCTAACTAAGATTATGTAGACTTCTTTAGACACTTGAAAGCAAAAATTATTTTAACGTCTTGAGTTGCTCACATTAGTTTCTTGGTAACCCATTGAATGTTACTGTCTACTGCTAGATGTTTTTTGAATTCATTAGTTTTCCAGCATTTTGGATAGGAGCATATTTCAATGATATAAATGAAATGATAGGCAGTACGTTTCCACCAGCAGGTCATCCTGTACCTGCAGGGCAAGTGCATCAGCAGCCTGATAGTGTCTTCAGGCTTCCTGATATCCTGAGTCACAAAATTGCAGCTGTGCCTCTGGCTGGACCCCAACAACTTGAGACCAAGTTTCCCAAGAAATTAAATAGCCAAAAGTTAGGTATGTGGGAGCCATGCCCACAAACCACCTCTGGCTCAGCTATGCAAGCTCATTTATCAGCCTTGTTTCAGAGAACCATAAATAAATCTCGATAGAGATCAAAAGCCACAGTAAATCTCAGACCCATGCAAAGTGGAACAGATGGTGTAAATCGGGGGTGGGGGGCATCCTGATGCCACCCAAGCAGAGCCCCCAGCAGCTTCCACAATCCAAAATCTCCACTATGCACCCAGCCTGACTCTACCGTCTCAAGACAGACCTCACCTAGATAGATATAATCTACTGAAAATTTGGGTATGTGGGTTTTGTGACTAAAATCTCCAGGCTTTCTGAGATAAGATGGGCTACCTCCCCCCACCTCCATGTACT